GGTCAATGGATCTATTTCTGGGTTCTCAATACTGTTCTACTGGTCTATGTGTCTGTCATTGTACCAGTACCAGACTGTTTTGACTACCATGGCTGTATAGCAGGTTTTAAGATCTAGGAGTGTGAGACTTCCTACTTTGTTCCTCTTCTTCAATAGTGCTTTGCTTATATGAGGTCTCTTTCGTTTCCATAAAAATGCCAAAACCAAACTCACTACTGTCAAGTTGATTTGATGCATAGTGACCCTTCCTTGGGTTTCGGAGGTGGTATCTCTACGGAAATAGATTGCCCAATCTTCCTTCCTAGGATTGGCTGGTAGGTTTGAACTGTTAACCTTCTGGTTAGCAGTGATATTTTTCTATATCCTTAGAGAATGCTGATGGGATCTGGATTGGGATTGCACTGAATGTATAGATTGCTTTGGGTAGTATCGACTTTTTCACAATGTTCAGTCTTCCTATCCACGAGCATGGTATGTTCTTCCATTTATGTGAATATCTTATGGTGTCTTGGAGTAGTGATTTGTAGTTTTCTTCATACAGGTCTTTTGTGTCCTTAGTGAGATTTATTCCCAAGTATTTTTTTGGTAGCTATATTGGTTTCCTTATTTCCTTTTCAGCAATCTTTTTGCTGTTGTTGTTATGTGCCATCGAGTCGGACCCAACTCATAGTGACCCCTCTTTGGGCTTCCAAGGCGGTATCACTACAGAAGTAGATTGCCCAACCTTCCTTCTGAGTAGTGGCTGGTGGGTTTGAACATCCAGCCTTCTGGTTAGCAGTCAAGTACCTTAGGCACTATCCTACCAGAGCTCCCTTTGCTGGTGTAGAGGAATCCAACTGATTTTTGTATGTTGATCTTGTATACTGCCACTATGCTAAAGAGAGAAACATTTTTATAACCTAATATCTTAAGTGAAATCCCATCACTCTGGCATATTCTCAGAAACACCCATGACACTAATGGGCAGTGAGTCACAAGGATTCCTCTCACTCATACTCAAGGAGGAACTCTGGTAGCATAGTGGCTAAGGCACTTGACTGCTAACCAGAAGGCTGGCAGTTCAAATCCACCAGCCAGTCCTCGGAAGAAAGATTGGGCAATCTACTTCCGTAGTGATACTGTTTCAGAAACCTGAGGTGGGGTCGCTATGAGTTGGGGATGTCTCAATGGCACATAACAACAACAACAACATACTCAAGGGGTAGAATACCAGTATCATTGGGAGGTATCTTAGAAGCTACTTACTGTTGTTGTATGCCATTAAGTTTATTCTAACTTACAGTGACTACATGTGAAGACTTCCAGTAAGATGGAGGAATAGGCAGACAAGTGACACAGACTCTCTTCAAGAAAGAAAAGAAAAACCAATTGACAGAGATACAGAAGATAATCCTGAGCTTTGAAAGGAACTACAGCCACTCCTTGGAAGGAAGATGGGACAGGGCACTCTACTTCCGTAGTGAAACCGCCTCGGAAATCCAAGGAGGGGTGGTTATGAGTCGGGTCCGACTCGACGGCACATAACAACAACAACAACAACATACAAAAGTGGATTAGGCACCAACTAGTGGAAAAACCTGAACTAAAACAGTGAGTACAGAGATGGTCAGATCTGCAGAGTGTCAGCTACTCTGATGGGACCAACAGCCTGAATATTTCCAAGTGGTGTTGGGACCTGAGAATTGACCTAAAGATCAGCCCGGGTCACCAAGGGCTGTGGGAACAACTGCACTGGTGGCCTATGACTAGGAAGGGAAACAGCAAGGAGGAAGACAACCTGACCTGTTGACTTTCTGCTGTCCGGAGGGCGCAGCCATTTTGATTGTTTACACGTGGCAGCCATTTTGGATATTTAAAGTGACTGAGGGTGTAGCGATTTTGAATGTTTACAAGTGGTAGCCATTTTGGATATTTAAAGTGACTGAGGGTGCAGCCATTTTTAATCTTTACAAGTGGCAACCATTTTGAATTTTAAAGTGATAGCATTCGCATTCGGCTACTAGGGACCTAAGAATAGGCTCTGTTTGCCAAGGTTGGCAGGGATATACAAGAGGCTGCCAATACGAAAGGAGACAGGTGGTGAGTGTATAAGTGCTGTCAACTGGTGAATAGAGGAACACAGCACAGTATCCTGCTTTCACAGGTAACATACAAAGAAAAGAAAAATCATGGGCAAGTCACTCCAACATACAATCACCAATTAAATATAAACACAAAAACATCACAATGCTACAATGCTTCAGAGATAAGAGAGCATCACAGTCCACACAAAGAAGCAAGATAAAGCAGGAGCAACAAGGGACCAGGATCAGACCCAAAACACATCCCTGAGGAAGAAGCAGCATTGGAACTTCCTGATATGGAATTCAAAAGGATTATATTTAGGTATCTTCAAAGGATTGAGAGACAGAGCAAGGAAAACACAGACAAAACCTTGATAAGAAGAATTTTGGAAGAAAATACAAGAACAAAATGACAAATGAAAAATTAGAAATGATTCAAAATCTACAGATAGAAATCCAGAAGATTAATACTAAATTGTCAGAAATAGATAAGACATTGAATGGGCAAAGGAGCAAAATTGAATCAATAGAAGACAGAATTAGTAAGATTGAAGACAAATACCTGAATGCTTCTTTGTAAAGGGATCAATCAGAAAAAAAGATCAAAACAAAATGAAGAAAGCCTAAGGTTTATGTGGGATACCATCAAAAGGAATAATGTACATGTCATTGGCATTCCAGAACAAGAAGAGAAAAATAAAACCACTGAGAAAATTGTCCAAGATTTGTTGGAAGAGAACTTCCCTGATGTGATGAAAGATGAGAATATATCCATTCAGGAAGTCCAGCAAACCCCAAACAGGACAGACCCCAAAAGAAAATCACCAAGATACATCATCATCAACCTCACCAAAACCAAAGACAAAGAAAGAATCCTGAGAGCAGCATGGGAAAAACAAAAAGTTACCTACAAGGGGCAACCAATAAGACTAAGCTCAGGTTTCTCGGCAGAAACCATGCAGGTGAGAAGACAATGGGACAGTATATATAACTTACAGTGATTACATGTGACAGAGTAGAACTGCCCTATACACAGGGATTTCTTAGCTGTAATCTTTATTGGTGATCTCCAGATCTTTCTCCCACACAGCGGTTGGGTGAGTTTAAACTGCCAGCCTTTAGTTTAGCAGCTCAATGCTTAATCACAGTGCCACCAGTGCTCCTTAGAGGCTGCTTACCAGATGCAAAATACATTTGCACACTGCCCAGATCCTCCATTATATTAGTTCTACATCCAGAATGCTATCATTGAAGTCAGGCATGGGTATGGATGAGGCTCCCCAGGTATAGTTTTACCTAGAGCACAGTTACCTGCCTTCCACACCATCCCCAACATACAATGTTGAACAGGCATAGGATAATGGCTATAGACAATCCTGTTCAGAGGGGGTAAATGGGAGGCAGAAAGAATTCACCAGGTCCAGCCCACACTCTGGGGAGGGACTTACACAAGGGCCTGAAAACCAGGAGGTGGGAATCACTGGGACCATCTTAAAGGCTGCCTTTCAACTTAATTGTAATAACAAAAGAAGTAAAACTTCAGACAAATATCTGACGAAATTTGAAATGTAGCTGATTTATTTTAACGTACATGGCATTGCTGTGAGTTTGTATTGCAATTCTTTCTTTGGCTCAGGGTAAACATTCTTTTTAATTACAAGAATATTAGATAGAATTGCTTAAAATTCTATCTCCCTTTACCATGTCTATAGATAAGAGGTTGTTTAATTTTCCAAAAATTCAAAAATGCTTTCCTGAAGTTTAATATAACATTGTTACAGTGCTGCACTTCCTCCTCTAGCTGCATTCTGCATTTCTTCTTCCATTGATCAAATATGCCTTATACTTGCCATAATGTTTAAACTACATTTCTTGGTGAAACATCAGTGCTTCCGCTTTGAATATGGGAGTTGTATCTTTCTTTTTTTGCACTATTGACTGAATTAGAGAAATAACTTTTCCAATTTTTTTCCCTTATGTTGACTTCTAAAGTCCTTATTTTGTCTCCTCCATCAGTCTAAAACAGTAGTTTTCAACCAGAGGCAATATAACTCCCCTGAGGACAGTTGGCAATGTCTAGAGACATACTAGTTGTCACAACTGTGGTGTGCTACTGCTGTCAACTGGGTAGAGGTAAGGGATGCTAACCATCCTTCAATGCACAGGATAGCCCCTTTCTTCCCCTGACCCCTCTACAAAGAATTATTTAGTCCAAAATTTTAGTAGTGCTAAAGTTAAGGAATCCTGGTCTAAAACAAACTCATCCTTCCTCCCACTTTAAATGTGAAAAAATACACACACACACACATACACACATATTTTTTTTCTGAATGTTTCCTTAGAAATAACAAAAATGAAGAACTGTGATACAACCTAGTAATGCAGGCAAACCAGTTCTGTATCAAATACCTAACCACTGAATAATATAGTCTCACATAAAGGGCAATGAGAAAATGGAAATTTTACTAAGTGTGAAGTTTGAATACATTTTTTGATTGGGCAACATGTATTGGATGCTTTGTGATATATTAGAATATAATTTTATACATTAATAGGTAATTATTTCTAAATAGAAAATATCCAAAGTAAGTATATCCAAGCTAGAGCATGGAGTAAGATTTTTTTTTTTTTTAATTTCTGCATATACTTAGAATGATGTCAAAATAACAATAAAAACATTTAAAACAACATGGTAGTATGCATGAACCCTTAATATAATATCCTTAATAAAAGTATTACATATTTTTATTACTTTATGACATTTTTACTCAGGATTGTATCCTTTTCCTAAATAAATTTATCTATAACTTTATGAATCATCTGTCCAAATATGTAGAACAGGTTTTTGGGAGAGAACAAATACATTTTGTATTTTTCTTAACTGACAGATGACTAGATTTTTTTGTTTTTGTTTTATAAATATGTCCTTCTCTTAAATCAATTTTTATCTTCAATGACATATGCAAGGTCCAAAATCAAATTGGCTGTCTCCACAGCCACCTGTAGGCCACTAAGCTTAGCCGTAAAACAATCCAAAGTCAGGTTGTTGGCTGACGTGGCAGCTTCATGTGGGAGGCAGTTTTGTGGCACAAAAGGATGACGAGTGCTTCTTAAGAAAGACCAGCTGAGTTCTTCCTGGCTGCTGTGTAATCCACACCCACATCTGGATAGCAAATCGGGCCAGTTAACAAGAGGGGGACAATCTGACTGAACTGACCAAAAGTGTCCATACTTCATGTCAGTGAGAATTTCACCTCCATCATGTTCTAAAGAGCCAGCAAGAGATTCCAGAGCACTGCAAAATGCTTCAGCAATTAGTCTAAGTGCTGTTTGAGTACATTCATTACCTTTGAGGATGCTTCCTGGTTCATTAAGAGTCTAAAAAACAACATAGAACCGTTGAAAACACAGAGAGAGCAATTAATATTATAAAATCATTTATTTTATATAAAAAATTCAGAAAATTTTTCTGATATTTGTAAAAATATTTCTGAAAACTTGACTATCTGATCAAAACCTTACTCATAAAGTGACTTCTTACTTTCATTTACTTAGGGGTCTAGAACAACTGGCCAGGCCCTTTAACCCTGTTGGTGATAGTAAAAATGTATGCTATTAGTCACATTATAAGAATAAATGAATCAGAATATATCCCATCACTGGCTTATTTCAATGACTGCCCAGTAGTGTCTCTTAATTTATGGAGAACATGGCATAACGCATGTACTATAGGTTATGTTTATATACACAAGGATTAAGTTCTTGAAGATTAATGCTTCAAATGAAGTACTTATGTATACACCATAAAATGTTTGAGATTTGTTTGAAATGAGAACCTACATATCATTATTAATAAGACAAAAAATATTTCCACATCATTGTTTTAAAGATGAACATTCTTGTCTTTAAGTTAGTAAAAGGGTAATACCACCTTAAACTGTTCTAGGCACTATGCCACAAGATCTCCTTGTTTGGTTTTTTGGTTCTAGCATTCTAAAAAGTTTAGCCTAGAAACGTCATGATAACCAAACCAAACCAAACCTGCTGCTGCTGAGTCTATTGCAACTCCTGGAGACTTACAGGACAGAGAACTGCCCCATAGGGTTTCCAAGGCTGAAATCTTTATAGAAATAGACTGCCCTATCTCCTGTGGAGGAGCTGGGGAGTTTGAACCACTGACCTTTTGGTTAGAAGTGGATAGTTTTAACTACTGTGCTACCAGGGCTCCATAAATTTAATGACAGAAAAAAAAAAATCACCATATTAGTAAACTGAATGATAGTTTTCAAAAATCTATATCCTAACTACTTAAAAACAGTGACCATCTTTTTTTTTTTGTCAGGATGTTTGAACCAGATGAGATTTATCTGTATTGCATAATTTGTCTGTATCTTCAACACTTTATTTTTCTTCAAAATTCTATTCCCTATCTCCCTCCGATGAAAAACTTTCTCTAGCTCATTCAATCCCATTGCAGATTACATTATTGTCCACTCAGCACAATAGATTAGTTTTGTGTTTTTAAATATGAATAGTATAATAAAATGGATGTGAACACACCAACAATCATGAAAATGGTGCAGGATTGGGCAATGTTTCATTGTACTGCAAGTGTGGTCGCCCGGAGTCAAAGCTGACTCAACGTCAACTAACAATAACAATATGCCAGTAACTTTATAGCAGGGAACACTATCTTCACAAAAATTTTAAATAATTTAAATAATTCGGGGAAGCAGAATAGGCCATGTCGTGTAAAAAAAAAAAGAAAACAGTTTACATTCTCTCCAACGCCCGTCACCGCCCGTCACCCAGTGGTTAACTCTGCAAAGTCACTGACAACACTCCTGTGTAATCAAACAATCAACTGCAAATGTTTAGAAAACACCAATACCTTTCAAAATCCATTGTCAAATAAAGTAGATAAGTCTTTATGAAATAATTAGAACCATAATGTACTAAACTTATCAGACAATTGTCAGGAAATGAAGTTTCCTAGATTAATTCAAAATATTCTATTTAATAGAATATATATATATAATATATATACCATAAATGTATACCAATTAAAAACTAAAATTGGAATTGAACACTTGGTATGCTTTCATAAATGAAATTAAATCTTTTCTTGATTATTCAGAAGGTACTGCAATATTCTGTAGAACTCAGCCCTTTCAATGTGAACATCGATTATTATAATACCACAGCATAGTATACCATATACCATATATATATACCATAGTATACCATGTACCATAGCATAGCATAGTTCTCTAGTAAGAGTTTTCATTAAGAGAATGCTAGTTTCAACATGTAGCATATGTAGACAATACTCAAAGAAGGTGACCATTTGCTAAAAGATTAAAATAATAACCACCATTGCAATAATAATATTACCTATATTGGCAGGTATTATTTTTCTCAAGTGTTTCCAAATACAGTATATGACTTAGACTGGTAGCGTAGTGCCTAAGGCACTTGACTGCTAACCAGAAGGCTGGTGGTTCAAAGCCACCTCGGAAGGAAGGTCGGGCAATCTACTTCCATAGTGATACCACCTAGGAAACCCAAGAAGGGGTTGCCATGAGTCGGGTCCGACTCGATGGCACATAACAACAACAACAACAACAACAACAACAACAAAACCGAGAGACTAAGTGTTAAGGTTTCAGGGTATTACAATTTGGCTTTGTATCTCATAAAATGAAAGTTGCTGAGAAGGCAGATAATCTGTAAAGAAGGACTATCCATCCTACCTTGTGTCTGATATATGCAGCCAAATGAGTTTCAGTACAGCCACCTCCCAAAAAAACAAATGGTTCTTTAATTGTTAACTGTAAGACATGCAGTGCTGTTTGACATGTGAGCTAAAAAATAAACAAACCGTAAGAATCAGACATTCCCATCAGATATATGAAGAAATGTAATCATGCTTTCAAAGCAACATAGAGGACTCTGAACCTGATTTTAATTGTAAAAGAAAAAAAAACCAAGTTCTGCCAAAGTTCTAATAAGATGAACACATTTTGTAATAATAAAGAATGGAGATTAAAGGTACTTTAGTCAGATGTTTGCTTTTATGGAGCCTGATTATCATTTTCTTTCATATACAAATTGAGATTCACAAATGGATGGCCTCAAAATATCTGGGTCAGCAGTGTTTGCTAGTATGTCTATTTGAAAAATGACTTCAGGGTAAATAAATTAGTTGTATAAATACTATAGAATTTGTTTCACATTGAGTTGGAAATGATACAGCTACATCCTAGCACAATAAATAGAAAACACAGAGACCTTTAATATTCACCAATGATATATCCTTGATCATATAAGAATCTTCATTTGTGACTAGTCCCATAGGGTATAACTTACCTATTACATTGCATGTATTATCACTGGAAGAGTATAAGAAACTCTAAGATGATAGGCACTGACTGAGGAACTACTTTTCTAAATGAATTATTCAAACACATTACTATCAAATAGTACACAATTCAAACTGTTTCCTTAGGAAAAGTCCCTACAAGCCAGTGACCTTTAGATTGCTTGTAAAGAGAGTAAATGGTAGCATGTACCCAGTCTACTATAATGCCATAGGCAATTACATTAGCTTACTTGTGATTTTGCTTCCCCATTGTTTTTGCTTTGTAAGCCACAGAGTGAAGTTACGGGGGAAAGAGGTAGGAGCATAGCTCAATGATGGCTAATAAATAAATGAATAAAGTAAATATACACACACACACACATATATATACATACTCAAAAAACGCACTGCTGTCGAGTTGGATCTGACTCATAGTGACCCCTCCTTGGGTTTGAGGTGGTATCACTATGGAAGTAGATTGCCCAACCTTCCTTCCCAGGAATGGCTGGTGGGTTTGAATCACCAGCCTTTTGGTTAGCAATTAAATGCCTTAGGCACCACACCACCAGAGCACCACATTGCTAGAATGTTGTTGTTGTTGTTGTTATGTGCCATTGAGTCGGACCAACTCATAGCAATCCCTCTGGGGGTTTCCCAGGCAGTATCACTATGGAAGTAGATTGCCCAACCTTCCTTCTGAGGAGTGGCTGGTGGGTTTGAACTGCCAGCCTTCTGGTCAGCAGTCAAATGCTTTAGGCACTACACCACCAGAGCTCCCATATACGTGTGTGTGTGTGTGTATGTATGTACATATATGTCAGACTGCTTGTCTGAGTATGTAATCACTGTCTCAGAGCCAAGGTGTGGAATTCGATTGATTACCTACCTTCAGCTCATCCCAGGTAGTGTCACTTCTGTTGCAGAGAAGCAAGCTGGAGACAGTCACTTCATGAGGAATAAGATGAAAAAAACGTTTGGAGCCAAATTTTGCAGTGCACAAATCTTTCACACTTCCATAACTACTAGGAGAGATTGAACTCAGGGAACCAATAGGCTGTGTTCCTATTTTTTAAGTTTAGAAAACACAAAATATATAAGGAAAGGTGAAACAACAAAATCCTTTAAATTTCTAATTATTACTAGCCAACAAAAAAAATTTCAACAAGCATCTCATTTAAAATGTGAAATGTAGGGTAAAGAAATAACACGACAAATCTCTTAAAATTTATGAAATAAGTAGTATTCTGCTACTAAATGATCATCAAATAAAGCAGACATCCTTAACTTTAGATTTACACACTCTGAAAATCTGTTGGAAGTGATGTTGTACTCTCCCCCAGAAAAATACATGCAAAACTTTGAAATTTTGCAGAGCCTAGCCTTCTGGAAGACTATTCAGGGGATCAGAGGCCACAAAAGAACTCTGCTTATCTGGGTGATATGAGGAGACAGGGTATCCTTTCATTTCATAAAGCAAACAAATTAAGCTACCCAAGTAAGTGTGTAGTTGAATTCCTATTGTTAGTGAACAGGTAAGAAGTTATTTTATTTTATTTTTTGCCTAGCAATTATTTGTATGCGAGTAGTTACATAAATAATGGTATGTGAAATACCTCTTTCCCTCTGTTATTCTTTGACATATTACTTTGCCCTACCTCCTGCATCACGCACAGGTGAAACAGTAACATTTTACAAATCACAAATTAATGTCATATGAATAAATGGGAAGTTAACAAAAAAAAAATAAACCAAACTCACTGCCATGGAGTCAATTCCAACTCATAGTGATCCCCATTGGGTTTCCAAAATGGTAAATCTTTATGGAAGTAGATTGCCCAGTTTTCCTTCTATGGAGTGGCTGGTGGGTTTGGACTGCCAACTTTCCGGTAAGCAAATGCCTCAGGCACTATGCCACCAGAGCCCCTTAAGTGGGAAGTTAGGATGACTTATTTTCAAAATCTCTTAATGTAGAGGAAATTACGTAAAATAAATAAAAATCTATACATTCCAATAAAAGAAATAGCATATTTCAAATAGCAAGTTTAAAGTATAAAGATTAAAACTAACTCTGAGCATTTCACTCCTTTGGGCCAGTTTCCTCATTTTTAAACTAAGAAGGTTTAATAATGATGTCTAAAATCACTTCCAGCTCTTAAAAAAAAAAAAAAAAAAAAGTAAAGATTAAAACTAACTCTGAGCATTTCACTCCTTTGGGCCAGTTTCCTCATTTTTAAACTAAGAAGGTTTAATAATGATGTCTAAAATCACTTCCAGCTCTTAAAAAAAAAAAAAAAAAAAGTAAGAATCCAGAAAATAAACACTGGGCATTTTTTGTTCTATATGTATCCTTTCTTTTTTACTTTTGAGGACTCCAAGAGTGATCCAAAAGTCAAGGGGGAAAGAACCCAAAAAACCCTAAAAGTCATAGTCAGTTTCATGATGGACACAACAGAGGATGTGTGGAGTGAGAACTCAGCTTTATCACTTATCAGCCACCAGACATTGAGCAATCACTCATATCATTAACTCTTCTAGGTGGGCTTTCCCCTATGAATACAAAATGCGGATGATAATGCCTACATCAAAAATAATAAACCATCATGTTAAAAATGCTCTGTAAACCACAATGTGCTTCAGAAATGCTGGTAATCCACACAGTAACACCCACTATTTAACCTAGATCAACTTGATTCCAGAAAAAAGACCTTTCTTTGAAGAAATGAGGAAGGAAAAAAAAAGTAATGTTTATCTAAGTATATGAAAGAAGAATGATTAGGTCAAAAATATACTTCACCTATTCAAGTTTACTTAAATCACATGCATGAAGATTTTTTTCCCCTTTTTCCCTCTTATACCAAAGGATCTCAGCAACCAAGATCCAGGACTGATGCTACAGCTATTAATGCCATGTTCTAGCTCCACATAGTTTAAAAAATTGAGGGCTGGCCAGGAAACCCACTCCCTATATGTTGTTTCTATGAGAAGATGTATATTTTTAATACTGACGTAATAAACTGGAGTACAGTATTCACAAAATGGAGATTGCCTGTAAAAAGCTAGTAAATATTTAAGAATAAGGGTCTGATATTCAATATCAGAATGAGATCCAATAAATTATTTCTACTTCTGAATGCTTCCCACTTTAAGGGTCATTTGACAATTGTATAGAGGTAGGGCAATAACCCAGAGGTAACATGTATTCAACACTTGGCACAAATACTGTTTTTTGATTATTTATAAGAATGAAAATAGTGAAGCTCAACACTGATCTATTATTTGTGTCATGACTTAAAAACTATAATCAATGCAGAACTAAATGATCATCTCTGTGATAAATTCTAAGTGCAGTTAAAGATACCTAAAAGTGACTCAAACGAGGGACTTTTCAGGTCATCATTTTTCCTCTGGTTCAGAGGTATCAGTCTAGTATTTGATTTTATGTTTTGTGAAATATAGTGAATTTCCTGCCCAATATAGTCTGTTATATAAACATATTAGTCAACAAACATTCTGTATTATCTACTATTGGTCAGTCTTGTTCTAAGTACTGAAAAAAAGGTGGTCCTTGCTTTCAAGGACCTCAGCTTATGTTAAGGTATTTATAAAACATAACCCTTCTTCCCAAATCTAATAAGGAACCACTATTTATGCAGTAAGGAGCTCTGCTGGTGTAGTGGTTAAGGCATTTGGCTGTTACACAAAAGGCCGGTGGTTTGAACCCAATGACTCCAGGGAAGATGGTTGGGGCAATCTGCTTCTATAAATATTTAACAGCCTTGGAAACCCATGGGGGTCACTATGAGTCAAAACTGACTTGATGCCATTGATTTTTGTTGTTATTTATGCAGTTGTAGCTGTTAGAAGTTCTGATGGCGTTGTGCCTAAGGCATATGACTGTTAACCAGAAGGCTGGTGGTTCAAATCCACCAGCCAACCTCGGAAGGAAGGTTGGGCAATCTACTTCCATAGTGATACCGCCACGGAAACCCGAGGGGTCGCTGAGTCGGATCTGACTCAATGCCAGTGAGTGAGTTGTTTGTTGGATTTATGGTGAAGGTGAAGGAAAAATTACACATAGAATTATGTGTAAAACTACTTTCTAATATAGCATGTAATAGAGTTTTGTAAAATTCCAATGAAAGCATTTTGTGTAAAGAAGGAAAAATCTTATGATTTTTAGGATGTTAGACTTCTCTATTAATCTGTAAAACAGTTGGTTAATAGTTTTTAACAAAGGTGAGCCCTTTTGCATGTACAGTACTACACTATCAGTGGTGGACAGATGGGTGGACAGGCTAAATAATCAAGTGTGTCTAGGCAGAGGAAAGTGTGCCCATGACCATGTATAGGGTCGCAGATGATGTTTGTACATGTGTATTTGTACGCACTGGAAGAATATCCAAATATATAAAAGACCTAACAAGGGGTGATGTTATAACTTCTTGGCCACAGCTAACCACCTTGAGGGAGCAAGCAGTTGGATCTGTGGGCTTGGGACCATGCTCACTGGGGACACCAAGCTCAATTGGCATAACACACTACACAAAGACACTGTTCTACATCCTACTTTGGTGAGTAGTGACTGGGGTCTTAAAAGCTTGCAAGTGGACATCTAGACGCAACCATGGGTCACTCCTTGTCCAGAGCAAAGAATGAAAAAAAAAACCAAAGATGCATGGAAACAATTAGTCCCAGGGACTAGTAGACCATGTGATCCTCAGCCTGTATGACCATAAGACCAGAAGAACCAGATGGTACCTGGCTACTACTGTCAACCACTTGGAAAGGGATCAGTGCAGAAGATCCTGGAACGAGTGGGAGAATAATGAACCAACTTCAAAATCATGGGTGAAAAAAAAAAAAAAAAAGACCAGATTTACTGGTTTGATAGAGCTTGGTGAAAGCCCTGAGACTATGGCCCCTAGTTACCCTTCAGATCTGGAACTTAACTCACTCCTGTGGCTTCCAGCCAAAAAATGGGCAGGCATATAGAGTGAACATTTGCATCAGGTAGACACAATCCTTGCAGTGATCAATCATGGGAGAAAAGAAAAGCAGTGTTAGTCTCCCTAACAGGGAGATAGCTCAAGGAGCAGGAATGCATAGGAAAGAAGGACACAAGGAAGAAGTAACTACAGGGAAGAAGTGGGAAGACAGCTGTTACACTGTGGGGAATTGCAGTCAATGTCATGAAACAAAATGTGCATGAACTGCTGTATGGAAAATAAATTTGCTCTGTAAACTCTCAACCAAATCACAATAAAAATGTTTAAAAAACAGTTTTAGATTATGACTGTAGTATGTTTTGGGGCTGGAAAATATGTAGAAAATGGCCATAATAACACAGTAATTTTTTAATAAGTCAATGATGATACAGAAACAACATTTGCTGCCAGAAATGGTACTTGCACATGCTATGAGGTTGGCGGCTTCTAGTATTTTCAAGATATCGATACAGCGACACAAACCAAAAATAGCTCTGCCAAAAGAGCATGACTTATCAACTGTAAGGGGCAAAAGCCAAGAGTTGCTTTTTACCTGTCATTTTACTCAGTGGTTCCATCAGAGCTACTCCAACTCTATCTATGGCAATAACACGATGTGTACTAAGAAACTGTTTCAAAGATGGGTGTATAACCTTTTGGCACATGACAATATCTATCTGGTCCCTCACCAGCTGCCATCCGAGATTAAGCAACTGGTCCAGGACTGCACTTTCAAGATCCACGCCATAACTGACCACCAAAGTTCCTTCTCCAGTGTCAGAAAAGTCTCCAGATAAAGACACACAAAAGAGTGCCACCTTGAGGGCACTTGATTTTTTCATAGGTAACATCCTCATCAATTGAACTTCTGACATTTCAATGAGCATTCCAGGTAATACAGTAGAATCCATAACCCTCTGATCTTTTAAGGGCACAATTATAGTCTTTCCTAAAATGACGTAGTCTTTGGCTTTTTCTGGAATTGTAAGCAAAAAGGCTCTCAGAACCAAAGCACTGATATGATCTACTTCTTTTCTGGTAAGCATACAGGCAGGTTTACTGGTTAATATGCTGCGTACCAAACAAAGGAGTATCTGAGTACTACTAAAGTCAACTGGGATCCGACAACCACAGACTTCAGATTTGAGATAATTGGTGCAGAGGCTCAAAAGCAGCTTATTTAATTCAATGACAGTGGTGGGTGTCAAGTCTATTTCCTGAACATTTTCAATGAGATTGCAGCAAAGAATGGCCATGAATAAACCACAGTCACTGACGCACGACACATGATTCTGCATGGAGGCTGTCAGGATCTTTAATATGGGATGGGTGACTAAAAGGCTACGAAGCAGGGCTGATGACTGTGAGGTTGTGCAGACATGCCCTCCAACACTGTTGTGCAGCTGTTTCAGCCGACCGGAAGGGCCATAGCACGATGTGACGATTCTTTTTAGGACAGAAAGCATGGACCTGACTCTGCCACTTGTTAATGGTTCATTTTCACATACTGATGGCTTTTTAGCTTCTAAACGAGCCATTTTACTTCAAGTGGTAACTTGTGAAGATAGCTTTTGCTCTGTTAATCGTACGTATCTATTTATTGCCCTGTCATAATAGGAAAGAAAAACTGCTCTTCAAGAACCAAAGTCTGAATATACAGCATTGTTGTTATAAAATTAAATAGTTCCACATTTATAAAGCGAGTCAGCATGGACAGATTAGTAATTCTATGTATTTATTTCACTTCATTCTTCCACACTCTTTTGTTTACTTCCAGACTGAGATTTTACGGACTGTTTTGCAACCCTCTGTATAAAATATGTCCCGAGGTGGACACCTATGAAAGACACCCCAGCTACAAGAAGCCAGTTCTTTCTAATCCAACTGATGTTTTTCATCTCTTCTTTCAATATCAAGGACAGGTTTAAAGCTGCGTCTTTCTGTAACAAATAAAAGAAAACAGTTTAGAGAAATAATTCCAACATATTTTTAGGTTGCAATTCAATTAATTTATTTTAATGTTCTGCTTTTCCTTTTGAAAATAAGGAACAACTGATTGGCACAAGAAATCTACTCACCTCCAGAAATAGAGAAATACAAATCAACTCAGATTTCACATTCGTTTATTCTTAAATGAATCCCTACAAGAAAAATTGCTTATATTTCAAAAATTTTGGTATGTTCAACAGTTAAAAAGCTTAAAATATAGCTATTAAAATATGACATACTTCTAGAAGAGATATGCTACATTTCATCTCCACATTGTAATACTCATAGAATTTGGTTTCTCAGTTTAAAAAAGTCCCAAATATTTTTATTCTCTTACAAGATTTAACGTTAGGTTTTTATCTGTAACCTTGATTATTTTGGAAACCATAGCCCTAAAGAAAAGTGCATTTATAACAAATCTCACTTGTACACAATTAGGAAGATAGGATAGCTGTTAGTATTCTTAATTTATCAGCTCACTATTGTAGTCTTTTATCTATTTGTATAAATTTGTACAATACGGTCTACAAAAAAAATACACCTTAAATATCTGGCTATAGTCAGAGTTAATTTTCTGTAGTTTTACTTTATCAATAAATGATTTTCAGTTTTGAAGTGCTAATGAGCTAATCTTGCTCTAAACTTTGGGTAATAACAATACAAAAATCAAGGAATATTTTGGATGACTAAAGAGAACAACAGGGTCTGATCCGACCTTCAATCACAAAGAGACTAAGTAACATAAAACATAGCATATATCAAATTGACAAGCAGAAACACAGCATTATACCAAAACCAAACCCACTGCCATCGAGTCAATTCCGACTCAAAGTGACCCTATAGGACACAGTAGAGCTGTCCCATAGGGTTTCCAAGGCTGTAAAAATCTTTACTGAAGCAGACTGACTCATCTTTCTCTTGTGGTGCAGCTGGTGGGTTAGAACTGCTGATCTTTTGGTTAGCAACCAATCACTTTAGTGACAGCACTCCCAGAGCTCCTTTGTAGCATTAGTTTCCTTAAAAAGGTAGTAAATACATCATCTAATTATTCTTAGCCTAAAGTACTACCTAAAGTAAGACTAAGGGGGTCGAGTATAGTAGCACAGACCAAAACATGATCTGAAGATGTGCAAAGAAGTGAGGAGAAAGAGGAAATGTTATGTGAAGTATTATTTTAGCTATTGTTCCCAATACAGTTAAAGGGCAGTAACCATGGTAACCGTGCCCAAATAAAGTGAATGGAATGCAGTTTTCTCCTTGCAATGATAAAGCTACAATTTTTCATAATGAAATATGGAAAAAAACTTTGTTCATCTCATGTCAGGAACAGCCAAGGTACTTAAACACTGTTTCAATTGCTATCAGTGAAATATATTTCAATGAAATCTTAGAGAAAGAACTTCTATAAGGTAATTCACAACTTTTAAGATACACACAGACCAAAAATCAAAATGGAGATTGAGAAAATGATTTTCCCAGTTAAAATAATTCTCATTAATAATGATATTCAACTTTCCCAAGATAGTATGCCACATTGCCACCTCTACCATCTATCAGTCTTGTGGTAGTGAACCCAGGGACCACATCTTTTGGCCTAGCACCTCCATTAAACGAGAAAGGAGGAAATCACTGAATGTATTGGTGACTCCCAAATCATATTTAAGATGTCAAAACTTGCTGACTTGTGGTCTTGAGTCTAAACCAGGACAAAATAAAGTGCAATTAAAAGAAAAACAAAAAATTACTGGCGCTTACCTACAGAATGTGTTTGGAAGTGCCAATTACCTCTGTTTTAAGACTCTTTTTAAACAACGTGACCCTCAATTCTAAAAGTTACCATGAGATGAATGGTCCTGACCACTCCTAGATTCACAGGCCTGGCAGATAGGCTTTCTATGTTGTTGTTGTTGTTATGTGCCGTCGAGTTGGCCCCGACTCATAGTGACCCCTCTCCTTGGGTTGCCGAGGCAGTCACTACGGAAGTAGATTGCCCAACCTTCCTTCCGAGGAGTGGCTGGTGGGTTTGAACCACCAGCCTTTTGGTTGGCAGATAGGCTTTCTATGTTGTTGTTGTTGTTATGTGCCGTCGAGTCGGCCCCGACTCATAGTGACCCCTCTCCTTGGGTTGCCGAGGCAGTCACTACGGAAGTAGATTGCCCAACCTTCCTTCCGAGGAGTGGCTGGTGGGTTTGAACCACCAGCCTTTTGGTTAGCAGTCAAGTGCCCTAGGCACTATGCTACCAGAGTTCCTACGCTTTCTATAGTGACAGATAATTTAATTAAAATAACAGTAAAACTTACTATATGGCTAGACTCTAAATTAAATTACACTATGAAACAGGATTTAAAGAAATATAAGCTCATGGAATTTTCTTCAAAAAGAGATGTTTTCTTTTTTTTTTTTGGTGTGGAGAAAAGTCTGACTTTAGATTTGATGCAAGAAATATACAAGATGAGCCAGGGACCTCTCCTGTACAAAACAAGGATTACTAAAAAATTACTTGGGTCACATCAGAATGAAAGAAGAGGAAGAAAAAAAAACAAAACAAAATCAAAACCAGACACAGGAGTCATCTTGATACAGATTCAATATGGGATAACCTGAGCATTAAAAAGAATGATTACTGTAATAGACTGAAACACTTCAAATACATGCAAACCCCTGGGTTCATGAAGGAGCTCTGGTGGCGTAATGCCTAAGGCATTTGACTGCTAACCATTAGGTTGGCAGTTCAAACACACCAGCTGCTCCACAGAAGGAAGATGAGGTGATCTACGTCTGTAAAGATTTACTGCCTCAGAAACCCAATAGGGGTCGCTATGAGTTGGAACTGACTCGATGGCAGTGAGTTTTGAGTTCATGGCACCAAAAACAAAACCCTCACTGTTGCTAAGAGCGCTAGCTCCTTATTGTGAAAACCGATAAAGGGAAATAAAGGATTTATCCTGCCTTTCCTATATAATTGCATTTTAAATGGACTAGATAGTGAGGGAAAGCTTTTCCACGTAATAAATGGAAAGAGAATGATAAGATTTGAACACATCATTTTGCAACTCTAAATGAAACAATGTGTTAGGCCCTCAAAGCAGTAAACTACAGTCCATGGACCACATCTAGCCTACTACCTATTGTAAATAAAGTTTTACTGCAACACAGTCATACTTATTTGTTTACATATTGTGTATGTTTTCATGCTACAATGGCAGAAGTGAGTAGCTGAAGCAGAGACTATACAGTCTACACAGAACAAAATATTTACTATATGGCCCTTTACAAAAAAATTTGCCAGTACTTTGATTAGAGCAAGGTTCATCAATACAAACCAAAAAACCAAACCCACTGTCATTGAGTTGATTCTGACTTACAGCGACCCTATAGGACAGAGTAGAGTTGCCTCACAGGGTTTCCAAGGTTGTAAATCTTTACGGAAGCAGACTGCCTCATCTTTCTCCCATGGAGCAGTGGGTGAGTTTGAACTGCCAACTTTGTGATTAGCAGCCCAATGCTTTAACCACAGCACCACCAGAGCTCCTTACAATCATCAGTAGATATGAGTAATTTATTAAGTAGAAGTTCAGTGTGGAACTTCATACTACAGGCATCAGATTGATAATCTACTTGTTAATATCAGCAACACTGAAAGTAGACTACTACTTGTTATAGGAGAAACAAAGTGATTCACTAGGAAGTACACGTAGCACCATCCATGAAGTATTCGTTTTAGAAACACAAACTTGTCTGAAGCAAGCCTCTGTTCCAAATATCAGATTACAGAAAATGACAAATTAGGACACAATCAGCCAAATTCAGAATGTGGAAAATTAAAAATAGCCGATGGAGAAGGGAAATGTAATAGGTAAAAACATACATCTACCAAATGCAATGTATGAAACTTGTTTGTAGCCTGACTCCAACAAACACCTCTAAGAAGTAAGAAATTCAGAAATATCAACATGGCTTTGGATATTGGATGGCATTAACGGGTTACTGTTAGTTTTTCAGTTGTGGTTATGTGTGTGTGTTTATCCTTGCTTAAAGACACATGCCAAAGGAATATATACTCTAGCCTGGGAAATGCTTTAAAATATTCCAGCAAAAAAATAATAAACAAAGGATGGATAAAAGGCAACTGACAAAATGTTGTTAAGTCTTAGCTGGGTGATGAATACTCGAGAATTCTATTAGCTTCTCTGATTTTGAGTATGTTTGAAATTTTCCTTAATAAAAGTCACAATAAAAAATAGTAAGGGGCAAATACAACACATTCTTTAATTGCCCTTCAATTGTTAAGAATCAGTGTTTTACTGACTCCAAATCCGGCTTTTACTTCTGCTTACCAAGTCTGTTCAGGAGCTCTGGTAGCATAGTACCTAAGGCACTTGACTGCTAACCAGAAGGCTGGTGGTTCAAACCCACCAGCCACTCCTCGGAAGGAAGGCTGGGCAATCCTACTTCTGTAGTGATACTGCCTTGGAAACCCAAGGAGGGGTCACCATGAGTCAGGGCCGACTCCACTGCACATAATAACAACAACAACAAAGCCTGTTT